TTATAACATATTAAAATTGCGCGAATTTTTCTTCGCATTATACGTCAAAATATATTAATTTTTTCAGACATAAAATTTTTAAAATATTTAAATAGAAGTAAATCTTGATCAATTATAATTTATATGTTTATTAATATAAGACAAATATAAATTATGTTTATTTAATAACGTAGACGTCAAGTAGGTAATTAATGAGTTTTCGATAAATTTAACTACTTGCAAATGGTGACACGCAAGAAACGGATTTATTTTGACATATAATGTAAGGAAAAATTTACATGATTTTTTTTGCTTATTACCACAATTCAATATAACTGCAATATGAGACCAAGTAATTTTAATCCTCATTAAAATAAGCATTATTAAACGTATCTTTCATGTGTTGAACTTATGTAACGAACGTAACAAAAATTAAATGAAAAATAAAATATGAATTTGGTAGTTTGTATACGCAAGATTTCACGTCGAGGTTAATGAGAAGTTTATGCTACGAAAAAATGAAGTAACTTTATTTTCATTTACATAATTATTCCATAGTAATCACATTACATGATCAATCAAAAATAAAATACTCGCTTATTGCAGTCTCATCAGACTCAAATTTGGCACTACATTGTTTGCCAAATGAGATTGAATAAAATATGTGAATTGTATTTGTATATGGGAATGCAACGTTATTAAAGTTACAATAAATGAAAGTCTCTATTTATTTTAAACTTCCTCGAAAATAATTAATTAATATAACATGCAGAGCTTTCAACTAAAATTATGGACGAAGGAAACAAGATTGTCGAGTTCTTTATAAAAAAAATAATAATTTTTTCCATAAATTCCGTAGTATGTCTCATATCAAACAATCCTTTATTCTAAATCGATTATCATCAATTCTGGCGATTCACTTGTACTACTAATGGAGCTGGTCTGCGATTTCTTTGGCGATGAAATGCCACTAGCTGATTTCTTTGTACTTTGAGTCGGCGTATTATCTTCATCATCATCATCACTATCCGATATTAAATCGATAATAACAGCACGTTTCTTCTCCTTTGGTGCCGGAGGATTGCTTTCATCTGAACAAATAAATAAAATATTGTATTATCCGTAGCACTTATTGTCCGATATAAGATTAAAAAGTAATTCAACCACCAAAAAACTATAGATTAAAAAAACAAATAGAATCTATAGAATGTAATATTACTTGGATCAGTTTCAAAAATTTTTATCTTATATTAATTTTTTTCTCTCATACATACTCTAAAAATTTATTTTTTTCTATTAATAATTCCAAGCTCAATGGTATGTATCATGTGTCTTAAATTAAATTCGTACAAACTTCAAAAATTTATCATTTTATTCAGTGTATAGTTGGGTTCTATTAAATACTACAAAGTACTACATATAAAGTATTACAGAGTATTTGCTAGACCTGTTAAGCTTTTGCAATATTCTAACAAGTATTTTCCTCTTACCTAAATCCACTGTGTCTACATCAATTTTACTATTGTCCCGTAAATCAGCCACAGGTTTTGCTTCACTTTTTTCCTTATCTTTATCCTTTTCTTTTTTTAGTACTAAATTCTCCCACGAACCATCTTGAAGTAATTGAATTTCATTCACGTCTGGCAATAACTTATTTGAATTAAGAACTTCTTGAAAGTATCCATCAATTACAAGATTATCATAAAGCGCCGGCTTGTCACAGACTGGGCAGTTCCAAGTAGGTTTTCGTTCATTCATTTGAAGAAACAAAGAAGCGTCGAAACATTGCAAATGAGAACAAGTCGACGCACGACACGGCGTACTCATCCTCATCTTTCCCAAAGGACAGGCTAACGATACCCTCAGTGACGTGGTAGCTATTTCACTATCCGCATCTTCGTTCAATTTTTCCTTAACTGTAAATTAATTCATATTTCTATGATAAAAATTCTTTTGCTACTATCGTAATACCGTTTACGATGAAAAATTACTTACTTAATCCTCTAGTGTAGTCGGAGTGTCTTACGCCTCTATTTTTTAATCTACTGAGTAATTCCGCGCTAGATAACTTTCTGACGAGGTATACTGCAATTGCGTATCGCCTACCATAATCAGCAGACCATGTGACACGAATCTCATTTCCAACAGTAGGCGACAATTTTACCAAGGGACTAATATTAATAGGTCGTGGTGGTCTCTTCGGCTCTACACTTGGTTTATTAGTAGGTATAGGATTCTGAAAAAAAAAAATAGATATATTGCCACAATTTTTAATATTTGTTTTCTACAAAAATTTACGAGATTATTTACGTGCAAATAACAATATACTATTGTATATTCGTTGAATAAAGAATTAAAAATTTTTATTTACATTTAAATAATTAAATTTCTTATTATTTCAATTCAAAATTAAAATTTGTACGTACAATATTGAAAGAGAAATGTACAGAATGTATATCAATTATAATCATATTCCTGAGTAAAAAATAAGACATAAATTCGCAGGCAAAAATCTCGAGACTTTTCAAATGGGAAACACAGTAGATAGTAGACGAATCAGGTAATCTAAAGTTTGCGTGCTCACGGCCAATGCTAAAGATGCTCTTGCTCTTGAAGTTGTCTGTGACATTTCATAAGTATTGATAATTTATATTTATTATTTTTAATATCCTGTAACAATTTTACGTTGTTATAATTACCAGCATGTACAGTGTAATTTGTATGTTTAAATAAAACAGTTAATAACTTCAACGTTATTGTACATGTTACTTCAATCTCAGAAGGGATTAGCAAAGATGCAAGAACATCTTTGTCACGGTGTAATGTACCGTACCTGAATGCACGATCTTTATATTATTTAGTTCGTCTACTGTAAATGCTTTTCCATTTGAAAAGTATTTCAGTCTCTACATTTTCCTCTTATTTTTTGTTCAGGAATATGTCATTAAAATTATAGTCATGAATTGTAGGATACCCTGGATTAATAGGGTTGCCACCTAGACAAATTTTGACCCGGAGACAGAAAAAGAAACAAGTTAATATGTATCATGTTAATGTGTTTTATAGTAAAAATTGCCACAACAAAAAGGTCAAAATATATCAAAAAATATCATAAAATAAAAAATGATTCAAATAAAATAAAATCCCTAACAATTAACAAGCAAAAAAAATATATAAATTATATAAATAATTAATAACAATAATCATTAAATGTGTTCCTGATTGTTATATTCTCTTAAATCTAGCAAGAATCTAAAAGAACACTTACAGACAATAATCACTAAGTGCTACTGTCTCTGTTGAATGCAGCAATTGTGTAAGGTACATATCAAGTTTAGAACATTTATCCCAATTTCATCCTTCTCAGTTTTGTTTCCAATGCCATTGTGACTCAGGGAATTATCCAAATTTATTTTAATTTTATTAAAAATTAGATGTTTTACATTTCACTCAACCCGGAGAAACAATTATCAAACCCAGAATCCAGACATAAGCTTTTAAAACCCGTAGAGGTGGCAACTCTATCTATATATCTGGTTTGACTTACCGGTAAAGGACACAATTTCCCATTAACTTTTACTGCAATGTTTGGAGGGAAATAATCTTCCTGCTCGCATGATGTTTCTTGTAAACAGAATCGCATTTGTACCTGTAGTTATAATAAGTTATGCATGAAATTCATAAATACACTAATAACCTAACCTAACTTAACCTTAAAATGAAATCTACCTTGTAAGGTTTACACGTTCTACTATAAAGATTTAGAATTGACATTCGATACATGAGATTTCAACACACCTGTACAACATAATCCATTTTACTGCCAGTTCGACAGTCACGTGAGCTGGCAATGTCCGTCGCTTGTTGTGGCGTCAAATGGAACAAGAATGTGTTTTCTTGCAATCTTATCGATCCCTGTGGCATTAAACTAGAAGGTTTCAATAATTCGCCTAATAAATCGAAAAATGGAAGTTTCTTCAGCCTAACATCTGGATGAACCGGGTACTGGCTTGTAGGTTGTATTATTGGACCCGGTAAAACTTTGGTTGGGTAAACAGATTGCTGATACGGATTATATGCCGCATTTGTAGTACGCTGAAAAAAAGATTTAAAACAATATTTCTAATATAATTCATAAACAGCAAGAAATAGTCATGGATTACTAAATTCTTATTTATAATTTATGAATCATAAATAAGAAATTATATGTAACAAGAAATAATCCATCTCTGATATTAAATTTAATATCAAAGAAATAATACACTTTTGCTCACCTGTGGCGTTACACTAGTGTAACCGGTTGACTGATATACTGGATTGGTCCTAGGTGCCTGAGGTAAAGATGCTTGATGCGCCGGAGTCAATTCCTTTCCAGCAGAAACTGACGCTTGTTGTTGTTGCTGTTGGCTAATCGCTTGCCTTTAAATATATATTTCATCAGACACCCACCCACATTCTCATTTTTTGAATACATATATATCTAAATGAAAGTATACCAATGAAAAAAATTATACAAGTACCTTGTGGAATAATAATTTCTGTTATGCATATTTTGGTCTATTTGTGGCTCAGAGGAACTACCAGTTTGTCCATACATTTGATGGGATGACATTTGGTCTGCCCTGAAAAAGATTTCCTTTCACAATTGGAACAACAAAAAATGATCTTGCTAAAGCGTGCTCTCTCTCTCTCTCTCTCTCTCTCTCAATATGGCGACTGGATTCTCTTTAAGCCTTTTAGGTTCGTTTTAGCTGAACTTTTTGCACGGTTCATCTGTCCTCTCTTTCTTTTCACGTTGGAGAGAAAAGGAGAAAGGACGGACCGTGCAAGACGTTCAGCTAAAACAAACGGGTCTTTTTACAGGTCTGTTTTCTATTGACTGCACTGGTTCGAGAAGTTTACATATACATTATTGGGTGCTTCCCATTTAGTGACACAAGTCGACACAGACGTCGTTCTATCTTTCTTGGTATTCAACGAGTGACAAAGACAGAACGAGACTTATGCCAGTAAATGGGAAAACACTTGAAACGTGAGGAACGTACACACGAGATTCTCACGCTGCAGCAACCGAAAACAGACCCCGTTTCATTTGTTGCCAATTTTGGAATTCGGAGTAACCACAACTACTCGCTTGCAACATGTAAAAAGAAAAGCATTGTTTCCCGCGGACATTTCACTGCGAGGCTTTCCACTGTTAAGCAAGTATTTTTTTTTCCACTTACTGTATCGTTTTATACAATTCACGTATTTTGAGTCGAATAGCTGGGTGCGATCTTAAGCGCAACAATTCCAATGCACGCGCTTGTAACTCGTTCTTTCTGCCGGACTTATTTCTACCGGCGAAACCAAGAAGCATCTGAAGCTCAGACACTCGAAAACTTAATACCATATTCTGTAATCAAAACATTCCATATTTCCCCTCATTATCCTCCTAATACAATCTTTCACGAGTGATCGTAACAAATCTTGTTGTATACGTGTTGAAAACGCTACCGCAAATCAACACGTTTTTTTTTCCAACAAAAATTGTCACAGTACTGTATGTACATTATAAATTCTTTTTAGGTTATGAAGCGAGCGACTGCTCCAATCGCGAAGGGACATCACGCGCCCTGTAACCCCCATGCCCAATTTACTTCCGTATTTACAAAAATCACTCGGCGGCACGCGCGAGCATCTCGATAGTCGCGCGAACGAGATCCAGAGCGGCAACATACAACTCGCGGGGGCGCAACGTCATCGTGGGGAAAAACGGCGGTGCGACAAGTAACGGAGGTGAAGTAAGACTTGAGAGGTTACCCATGGTATCTCCGCGCGGGTATGGTATACTCCGGTATACGCGTCGTGAGTCGTGAATCGTCGGCGTGCCGCGGAATCTACTCCCGCATTCTCAGGATCGTGCCCGTCGTTGTGATCCCTGCGATCTACCAGTAAATGTGCGTCATCCAGCGCGAGGCGAGTCCGCGCGAACCGTCGACGACCCAGCCAGGCGCCAGCCGTGTGGCGTGTGCAGACGTGTGCGATGTGCGACAACACTAGACACGAGGGAACGCGCGCCAGCGAGGTAAAGTCGTACCGGCACGGATCGGGGACTGCAGCACAACGCGTTGGAACGGGGAGAGAGGGGGGCACCGGGACAGGCTGGGGAAATAGGACGGAAGACGGGAGACAACGGGACGAAACCGATTTTTTTCAAGCGACGCGGCCCCGACCGCGAATCGGCCGCCGAGCCATCCGATCTCGGCCCCGGCCGCGTTCCCTCACCTCGGTAATCCCCCCCGGAAATCGACGCGCGATACCGAGCGCGACGCGACGCGGATTCCACGTCGCGATGTCGCGAAAATCGCGGCGACGTTTATATTCCGCCGCGCGCCGTGCACCGTGCACCCGTTCCACTTTATAACGCGCACCCACTCACCTCCAGTTCCTCGGTATCCGCCATCTTCTTGGCCGACTTTTTACCCGCAGCCGTTTTGCCGACGAATATTTTGAAATCCGCGACGGAAAAAATATACGCGCGACACGTCGCGCGCCGTACACGCCGTCACGCCCGCCGGCCGCCGGTCCGGTCTCTCCGTCCGTCTCTCGCGCTTCTCCGTCCTCTCCTCGCGACCGCTTCTCACCCTATCATGCAACTCGTACTCTCTCGCTCTCCCGCGCTCTCTCCTTCTCCCACTTTCTGTCTATCTCTCTCTTTCGAATCAACGCAACGCTTCTCACCTACGAGAATAATGTCGCGACGATGCGGAGCCGTGCGAGCGGTGTATGCCGATTTTCCCGATTCATTCGCCGTTGTATGTGCGACGGCCACGGTGGGTCGTGGCTCTCATTAGAATAAAAGAAGAAACAAGAAAGAGGAAAGGAAGAAACGCCGAGACGTTCAAAGCGATCAACGCGCGCGAGTATTGACATGTGACGTGACACACTTGCCGTTCGAAAAGCGAATCTTTCAAAATGGCGCCGGTAATGCCGATATTGACCAGCATCTACATATGTTCCATAAGGAGAGAGAATATCGGGATGCGATCGGATATGTGTAATTGATACATTGATAAATAATGAAAAAGGTACAATATTTCGTTTTTCTTTTCTCGTAATGAATACATTGGAAAAGTATATGTTCAATGTCGTCCGATTCAGTTCGATCCAGAGAAACAATAACCTAAAGAAATTTCGGGTCTACATAGGGAGCTTTCCAACGGACACAAGTCGACACAAGTGTCTTTGTTACTCATTGTCAAAAAAGAAAGATAGAACGACGTTTGTGTCGACTTCGGTCGCTCACTGAAAAGCTCCTATATTCGTGTATGTTCGTGCATCATGATCATTGGCTGCTGCTCTGCAACTGTTGCAATATTCGTGAATTTGATTGGTGCATACTCTTAAGTCTGGTTCAGACGGGACGCGTCAAGCAGCGAGCAGCAACCAATCAGCGAGGTGATATTTTCTACGCCACTGCTGATATCGCCTCGCTGATTGGGTTGCTGCTCGCTGCTTGACGCTTGACGCGTCCTGTCTGAATCCAGCTTGAGGCTGCATTCCCATGGAGAGAGAAATAGCGGAACGGAATTAAAACGGAATTACTCTGATTGGCTAATCTCCAGGTGGGAACTCTCAAGATGGAGTATTAACCAATCAAAATAATTCTGTTTTAATTCCGTTCCGCTATTTCTTTCTCCATGGGGATGCACCTTGTCCTAACCGTAACTCGTAACGCCTGAGAAAAAAATAAAATGTGAAAAAAAAATACAAATTTTTTTATAATATTCGCCCAATTAGGCGAGAAAGGAATACGGAATTTTTTACAGATAATGAGTCAGTTTTTTACTGCTGAACTGACTGCACTAGTTTAGAGTTTATCTTTTTTACTCCACATTGGAAGGAAAAAGATACACTCTGAACTAGTGCAGTCAGTTCAGCAATAAAAAACAAACCTATATCAACTACCTTCGGGCTGATATTTCATGTGTCTTCCGACAAATTTTGACAAGCGTGTTGATTGGTTGTAAAATAGAAAAATTCTCGAGTCTCTAGAAATCCTCTATCTTGTAGATAATCAATACATTTAAAAAATTTGTTGCACGACAAATTAAATATTTATACCTTCGAGTGCCTTTAATTTGGATTAATTTTGTTTGAGAGCCGCTAGATACTAGACTCCCCTTATTCTATTAGAACCTTTCTCTGGATCGATCCTAAGGGCTCTCTCACACAAAATAGCATAGCTGCATATGCATAACATAAGACCGCCTGGACCAGTGAATCTCTAGCATTGGTCCAGTTCATAAATTTTCAATACTGTCAGCATATTTTGGAACGCACTCTAGATACAGAAAGGAATGTTGAAGTTGAGATAGAAAATAGAAGGAATTAATAAATAATGCTATGACATTTCATTCGTTATCTCTTTTTATCGTTTTCATTAATTCTCGTTAATATAAATAAATGAAAAGTTCTTCACGATACACGGCCGAGATATTTTTCAGATTAAATCAGAAAAGATGGCAAAGCAATTCGAATTAGGTATGCCAGTATTAGCGGGATTCTGTAACTTCTTACTTACGATATCGTTGCGCAGGTAAAAAAGCTGCATGCGCAACGATACCAAAGTTACAGAATCCCGCTTCAGGTTTTATAAAGAATAATAATGAAAAAGGAATGTACATGATAAATATACGTACAATTAATTGCATGCAATATACAAATATAATATATAAATTGTTTTCAGCTTTTTCTTTTTATACATCTTAGATACCGAATAAGATTTAGACTCATAAAGCTTATCTGTGATCCTCTAAAATTATTATGAAATCATTAATTGTTTTTTATTGTACCCGATTTGTATCTCTCCGTCAGTATCTTGTTTTCCACGTTATCTCCGCACTTATCTTCCATTTTACCGAAATAATATTTTCGGTAAATTTGCGGAAATATTTTATGCTCCGATATTGACGATTCATGTGAATGAACGTAATTTGGCATTTTTTACAGCATAGAACTTTATAGTAATATTGCAGAAGTGTTTTGCAACATTGCTATGGGTTGTTCTCCTCGGTTTTTGTATATGATATTCACTTGTGCATAAATACTTTTTGTACATGCTTTGCATTCTATAATAATAACACTCTCGAAAATCTTCCACTGCTTTATTTGTATCTGCATAGATCCTACATATCTTGATACGCGTTATATGCAATATAATATTTATATATAGAAGTGTTGTTAACTTCTACTATCAAGAGCATCAATAACGGTTGAAATCGGCTCTAAGCGACACTATGTTAATTGACAATGAACGTTGTCGCATCTTGGTATGGAATTCTTAATAAAACGATGAGCTTGTTAGAACTACGACGAGTAACAACGTGTTTTAACACTCACATGTTCCCGCTTTAGATCGCTTTTCGTGATATTAATCTTACACGTCACATCTCCAAATTCTCGCGTTATCGATAACAATTGAGCGAATTAATCTTAAAATCGATTAATATCTTGTTCGCTAGCCGCCAACTATATTATAAAAGTTTCATTCATGACTTCTTCTCTCAGCATCTCCGACCCTAAATATTATTTTCAATATTCAATATTTCTAGTTTTCAGACCTTTTTTTAATCTATACGATCTTAATGTCTTCATAAATGAAAAGAAATGAAAAGCATTTTGTAGATTTTTAAATCAATTTTTAAATCAAATGTATAAGGATGCATTTATTTCGCACTTGAAGTGTCTTTTATGTATTTTTTTTTTTTTATTTTTATAGATTTTTAACATAATTCTAAACAATTTATATTAATTAGAGTTATGTTTGCTTCAAGATGATAGCCTACGAACGCATTTATCTTCGCTCGCTTACACATATTTTAATACAAAATTTGTCATGCGCTTATAAATTAATAAATACATATAGTGGATCCAAAAAATATTTGCACACCCAGTTTTCTTACAATAATTTTATTTAACGGAATAATACATAAGTACAAATTGTGTCCATAAATAATTTATTAGATATATACAGTATATGTGATAAGTTAGAGCGGCATGATTTAATCTAATTTTACTTTGATCAAGCTTTATCATCGAAATTTTCACGTAAATGTATTATAAGATAAATGCAGGATATGTTCACACGTTCTTATCAAAATATCATCTATACGGCGTGATTTATTTATGACAATGAATATTCTTTTTTTTTATCAAGTACTTATTACGTAAATGTTTTTAAGAGAAATGAAATATAACTTTTCGCGATAAGTAAAGATGCCATATGTAAAGTTGCTATTTCTCATTAATAATTTGCTAGTACTCGATAAATTCAGACAGTAGATTTTTAAGGACAATAGACAACTTATTGTGTGTGATATCGAGAGAAAAAGACATCGTCGAAAACGTTTTGTAGGCAAAGAGGAATTCAACACATGCGCAGGGATCAGGATGATCGATGTATGATCAGTGATAGTATCATTGTTCGAAGACAGGGATGACTGTTATCTAGTGATAACTAGTCAGAAATTGTGGGAGGAGAGCAGCTTATTATAGAAAATTGCGCCATTATTCCTTGTATATTCGTCCCATTTACCATTAGAAACACTTACCGAATAACAGAGTTTTTTCTAATGGGTTTTGATTTTAGATTACTATATCACAGGTATCGAAATGCTCCTCTAAACGTGTCTTCAACTCTTTATTTTTTTTTTTTTTTTTTTTTTTACACAGATATTTGCATATACATATACATTATACATATTATAAAATATATTCCATGAACCGGGCGAATGTATTTAAGGATGAGTGACAAGATTCGCGGTGGTCATGAGTAAAGTTGGGAGAAAGAAAATTTTTATTGATAATTTTTTGTTATACTTATTTCTTGAAACATATGTAATTTAATTTCTGGTGATAATACAATGCATCGCGTAATTCGCTGATAATGAGATTATTTCGTAGAAAATGATTCACGTATATGACGCATCTTTATATTTATACTTTGCTTTAAATTATCAAGAGAGACAGATTTTATATATACAGGATGTTCCAGGTCAATAAAACTTCAGGGAAATTCCCTGTATATAAAAAGAAAGAGATGAGAGGAAAGAGAGAGACCTCTTTTCATTTTTATGTCTTTTATTTGAATTGGAAGTAAGAAATTATGTATTCGTGTGTGTCGTATACGCTATCAGGAGATCGAAATAATAAAAGAATTTTAACACAATCTTAGATTATCAGATTTATTAAAATATCTTAACAAAATTCTCTACTCCTACAAATACAGCAGTATAGTTTTAGCAAATATGCAATTTGCTTCTCGTTACTCTCAACCTTTTCATGCTTCCTTTGAAATCGATGGTTATCTACATCCAGTTGTCCAGCTTTTTTCAAAATCGATAGTTACCTATACCCAGTCGTCCCAATTATTTTTACAGTTTACCTTTGACGCGACATCGCATTTCAGATTAGCAATGTTGAAGTAGTTGCCCCAACTGCAGTCATATAATTTCTTCTTTCCGCTTTCGCACTGGTAATATAATCTACAGTCGCACTCGTGAGCCCATTTTGAGGGACTAGAACTTGGGCAATCGCCAGGTTTAGGTTTCACGTTTTTGTCGCAGCCCGCATCTAATGGATTCATGCATATTTTTTTAGTCTCGCTAAAATGTAGACCCTCTGCGCAATGCTCGAGGAGCCAATCATCATTATTGCATTTATAATACTTATCGCAGCCACATTCGTGTTTCTTTGCATCGCCGTTCACGCACCTTGGTTTAGGATTGTTGCAGTTCCCCGGAATGCATCGCCGCGTTGAATTGTCGAAGTGCCATCCCTGGTCGCATTCACGCAGAGCCTTCCGACCGTTCTTGCACTGGTAGTATTTATTGCATTGGCACTCATGAGGTAGAAATTCGCCTTCCTGGCACACGGGTGGCGGAGGTGGCGGAGTTGTATTGCAGTCTCCCACTTCGCAAGTCTTCGTTGAAGGATTGAAACGCTGACCGACCGGACAGTCACGCACAGCTTTGCGACCATATTTGCATTCGTAGAATTTAGTACATACACATTCGTGCGGCAGTAGATCGCCATGTCTGCATTCGCCAACCGGTGGTGGGGTCGGACGGGTTGGCGGCGGGGTCGGGGGGGTCGGTGGCGGGGTCGGGGGGG